GTAGGGAAGTGTCTAACGTATGTACGTATATAAATAATACAAAAGATTTTGAACTCGTCAGAGATGCTGTTTATATAAAAAGAAATAAGCTTCTTCATTCATTAAACTGTATTAGAAGAGTCAGTGAATGTATTCAAAAGTAATAATCCTGAATTTGTTTTAAGATATTATATGATTTAGTGTGGTTCTCAGAAATTAGTCAATGATGACTATGCTTAGCTATATATTTGAGGCCAAATTGACCAATATGTGGATTATCCAAGACCATTGTTTTCTTTAGCTTCTTGCTATTCCCCAACCATAATATTAAAATGACACTATATCTCTCTTCCTGCACATGACCTAAAATGTTGAAGTTGCTTTAAATGAAAGACTCTTTGGTGCCTGGGCAGACGGAGCAGTTCCAGCTGAGGAACATCTGACATGTCACTTTTCATCGTCATCAGCCCTGAGCAACTTTAGGCACAGGGCTGGGAAATAACTAGACAAGGTCCCAAGGTCATGTCCAGGCCCAAGATCCTCTGACCCCAACTTGGCAAAAACTGAAGAACTCCAAGTGTAATCCCCAAGATGATCCCCAAGGAGGCAAGCAAGACATGTGAAGGACAGCCAAATATCAGTCATTTTGGCTAATTCTTGGGACTATGCAAGAAGACCTAAAAGTATTTTATTGTTTCTTCAGATTAACTTGTTCAAAGTGACAGCAGAAAACCTTTTGTTCTATTCAAGACTGCAGACCTAAAAGGAAACTATATCACTCATAGATATAATTATATAATCTATATATTAGGAAAACAGTAATTTAATGAGAAGGGGTTCCTCCTTAGAGAAATTGAGACTGCTCACTTGCTTATAGAAAATAATAACACAGTTATTGACTAAGTATATGAAATTAACCACAATATGATGAGTTTGTTTGCTAGCAGATATACCAGCACGTATCCATTCATTAGGGCCAAGTACTGAGAAGCCAGATGATCTCGACAGTGCTGGCCTTTCTCAGTGTGTGTTGAGAAGCCTCTTTCAGGCCTCTCTTCAGAGAAATTGTTTTATTTTGAAACAATCCATTTTTTTTTGGTATCGTTGAAATCCATTTGAAACCCAAAATGTATGTTGCTTGACTCTGTATCATTATTCATTTTGACTAATTATAAAATCATATTCACAAAGAGATTTTTTTCACCATTGAGGCAATCTAAAGAATGTAATGTTTAGTGCTTTACTAGGTGAGACCTTTGAAATGAATATCAGTCAGTTGGAATTTTAAGCAATGTACCCTTAAATTATTTTTATTATGTTTTGCTGCAATGTAGTTAAATGACAGGGTTTGAGAAGAACATCGTTAAAAATACTGTGTTCACACTGCAGCCCTGTGAGATCAAGCAGAGGCCTGGATATGACCTGCAGCTCAGAGAGGCCTCATTCCCGAAATTCCACTGTCCATGAAAAGTAAAGTGTCCTTTTTGCAACGTGGTCCGTTGGCCTCCAATAACAGCTCAGGCTGGTGGTGTCGTGGAGTTTGTCATAGCGAGAAGCAATACCCACTAAAACTATAGAACTGACACAGCGTCTAGGACTGATTTAGGGCCAAGCATCCTCTACTTTAATAGCTTCTGAGACCACCAATGAATTAAAACACAGATCAAACTCCTATTGTTGATGCTGAGTCATTCTGAGAAGATGCAGTTGTTTTTTACACTATGTTTTAAAAGGCAGGGAAGCATTCATGTATCCTCTACAAATTTCAACCCTAATTGTTCAAAATTAAAAAGTTCACTTCTAAGTGTAGATCAATATCTATTTGTTACGTCAATGTACCACATTTTGCCAATGACACCAGGTTTTAAAGCCTCTGGTATAGCAAATACAGCCCTATTTCTGGGTTATATTGCAAAGGGCCTTCACCACCGTTTTCTCGCTATGCAGTACCCTGACACGCGATCTTGGTGTCTCTTGAATTTTAAGATCTCCCCAAACTGCAATTATTAGAGCTCCCCTAGCTCTTGAAAAGCAGTAGAAAGTACCATCCCTGTTCTTGGGTCAGAACACCCAATGCAATGGCTTGAAATTATATAAGGAAAGGCAAAAGCAAATGTCATGTATAAAATAGTTTATTACCATAATAAATAAAGTCAAACTTTTTTTTTCTTTTTCTTTTTTTTTTTTACAAATATCATTTGTGCTTGTTTAAAAATGTTGAGAAGGGAATATCATCAGTGACGGGGCCCATGTGTTCTTCTTAACACCCCCAAAGTTGCAGACATACAGTGGAGTTCCTGGCAGCATCCTCAGCTGGCCACAAAAATAATATCAGCTCAGTTGCACTTCTCTTTATTCATGCTCATTTGGACAAAGTGACAGATGCAAAGGAAAAAGAAAAACCCAATGAAGGATTTGGCAGGACTCAATGGAAAGAGGGTTAATATAAGGAGAAGCCCCGGAATGACAAACTGCTCTTGAGTAGAGGTGTCCTTGCAGTGTCGGCAAAATATCGGGGTGTGGACAGTCTCCAACTGATGCACAAATACAACGTCTGAATATTAAGAGAATACATTCATTGGGGGCGGGGTGCATCATTCTTAACGTCAGAGCAGTTCATATCCTGACGCAAGATCCGTGAACTTCTCATTGAACAACTAATGGATCCAGAAGTTACAGATAGAGACAATGGCTCTAAGAAAAGCTTACTGGCGGCGGGGAGGGCGCCCACCGGGTCCGGCACCTGGAGGTTCTTCAAGTCCAGTTCTGCAGGTTCCAGAATAAGTCTGATATACTCGCATGAAAATGAAGTTTCAAGTGAAACTAAGCTTCAGGCAGATTCACATTGATTCTTTTGAACTGTGGGGCATGAAAATGAAAACTCCACAGGGACACCTTGGGTGAGACACCGGTGCTCTGATGGCTGCAGTTGGTGCTGAGAGGACAGTGAAATCTCCAGTTGGAGGGCACAAGAGCTGGTGAAGATAATCTTTATTGAAGCGAGTGAGAAGACAGTACAATGATTAAGTGACAGAAGAGAGGCAGTCTGGGGGCCGAGTGTGCCCTCAGTGGGCCTCCTCTTTAAGCGACACTCCTTGAGGAGGGAGGAGAGGGGAAAGTGTTGGCAGCTCCATCACAGTTGGAGTTCCATTCAAGGGTCTTAAGGCTAAACATCTTTATTGCAAAACACTGTACAGTCCATGCATCAAATGCACGTGAACTTGCATCTCCACTAGGGCTCCTAAAATTCCCCGGGGGGTGCATATGCCATACGGTGGTCAGTGCAACAAGGGGAGACGCCGCCATGCTCTTCCTACACCTGGTATTCCTAAGGTGTTCATTTGGTCCCCACACAGGCTTGGACAAAAGTTTGACAGTTGGCTTTGTTGCTCTAAATAGAGGCAAGCTCGAAACTGTCAAAGAAGGTGAGTTTTAGGAAATAGCAGAGGAATTCAAATTCAGGCCAAGCAAACCACAGCATGCTACAGGTGAGTCTTGAATTGCAATTCCTCTGCTATTCCCAAATAAACTCATCTTTTTTGACAATTTTGGGCTTGCCTCTTTATTTAGGTGACATTCCTTGGCATGAGAAGTGGGACTCGAAGGAAAATACCCCCAAAGGATGAAGACCCTCGGAATGGAGCCCTTTATGCTCACCGCTCCTGTGAGTCTTCGTCACTTCTGGTTTGGTGAGTCTGCTCTCGGGT